AACAAAGTTATAATACCCTTGTGCACAAGTGCGCTCGGGTATAAAAAGCAAGCGTTGAAATTTACTTTTGTAAGTGGTTTTCGGGAGGTTGAGAGGTCTAAGCCCACGTACATCTGCCCATCACGTACATCTACGCAGCAGCAGTACATCCGTTTTTATGTTACAGTACCGTAGTATTCAGATTTACAGTACGAGTATAACCGTTAAAAACTAGGCAATGTGTCGAAACTACAAGGACTTGCCCTATGGATGGCCCCAATGTTATGTTAGGTTAGGTATGCTGGCCAGCCACTGGCTTCGCAGAGACCAATAAGGTCCATAGCATTACCCGATGTTACTATAAACCTGTTTCCCTATACACATTCACAAAACATAAATCACTTCAATCTCAATAGCATAGTAATATAATTTCCCAAATGCCGTCCAATATAAGACCGCAATTTAATTCTACAGGACCTTAAGGGTCATTTTCCTGTTGAGAGCCGATTGATACAGAGGCATTGGCCGGTTGGCAACCACGCCAGAAGCCTGGGCATTACCTACAATGAATTTTGTAGAAGGTGGAGGAAGTTAAATTGCAGGAAACCGAAGAGAACCTTCTTTGCAGATGTCACGTTTTAATAACGCGCAAAAATACTTTATTAGAAAGATATAAGGTCACATCGCTATTTTGATGTAAGCTTATCGAGGGTGTAGCCAGCATTTCGGCGCTTAGTGTTAGAACACGCCTAAATATTTGCTCAAGAATCGAACACCGTTTTATAAGGGCTTGCACCAAGTCCCTGTTTACAACAAACTTCAGGTATTCTTGAAAAATTTCCTACAGGTTTTCTTAAAATTTTCCTCTGACAATAATTGCAGAGTCTCCAAAAGGTTGTTGACGAAAATAACGCAAAATAATGGTTTCCTCCTTTTCCGTAACACTCTTCTCTAGATAGATGTCGTGTACCATGCCGCTAGATAGATAAAATAGAGGTGTCGAGTTTTTCTAGGAAACTTGCGGCTTTTTCTAATTAAAAGCCCACTCGATATTAAGGAAGGCCAAGCAAAGTTACAGAAATGAATTGCATTTAAGAATTAACTGGTCGATAGCCGTCTAAATTGACGCCACGCGAAATATTACCTTAACTCGACAGTGTCAGACAAACTATCTTATCTCCGCTTTTTCAGACAAACTATCTTAACTCAGACGCGCCTATTTTTCTATTCGGATGTTAAGCTGTTAAGCAATACAGTTAGGACAAAAAAGATAGGCGCGTCTGAGTAAGGATAGTTTGCCGGATAGTTGAGTTAGTACAGAGTTAGGATATTCTTTCACACGGTCTTCAAGATTGGCCTTCAAAGAATAAACTTCATTTCATCAGCCCTATTTGTTTGCACTCACCTTCTTTTCTGACTTCGATTTTGGCACATCCTTTTTCTTCTTACGCGGCGGTATTCGCCCATTGAATTCCTGTAAACGTTCACGGCCTGCTGTAAAATTTTCATAACGATCATCGAACTCATCCCAGCTGGTTTCATGCTCACTATGACACTCGCGTTCATCATCATTTGCGGTTGATGTGCGACGCGAGCTAAAAAAAATAAAAAAAAAAATAAATAGACATAAAAGGAAAAATCATTTTGAAAACATAAAAGAAATCAGCAATAATATGAAAATGTAAGACAGTGAAAATCACGCTGAATTCTTAAGAAATCTCATAAGCGAGTGTAATAAATTTAAAAATTTTATCAGAATACACAAATTGCAATTAGCGCACAATAAAATACAATAATTGTGCGTAAAAGCGTGTGTGCCATAACTGAATGAAGGTGACGAGAAGGGGTGAGAAGAAATCAAGCAACTCAAGCGACTGTACTCATTCCCATGATGAAATATTTAAATACATATGTGGCGATAAAGTGGCGACGATCGAGATGTGCCGATCGACATATGCGCCGAAGAGCCGTTCCGTGTGGGGGTAGTAAAATGAAGGTATTATCTTGACAGCAAGTTGTCGTTGGTCATGTCGATACATATGTATGTATGTATGTGCTGCTAGCACTGTAATTAACATTAAGCCTCCAAAGCCGGCTGATGAGCGGCTGTTTAGCTGATATGTAGCAATTGGAAGCTGGGGGCTTGTATAAGCCGCCTGTAGCTGGTGCTGTCGCCAACTGACCGATAGCGTTGACGCGCAGTACAAACGTACTTGGTGCGTGAAAAGATGTCATGGGAATTGATATTTTTAGCACACTTATATATATGTATGTATGTCTGTATACTAGAGGCGCAGTGAGATTTCGCAATCTAAATGGCGCATTAATGCGTTGCGGGAGCTGCTGTCGTCGCATGCAGCCGGCCAGCTAGCAGCCAGCCGGTCGTTGATCGCGAGCTTTCATGGCGTTTGCTCTACACCCCCTACGCTTTCGTGCATTCCCATTTGATTATCATCAACAGTTGGAGCTTTGTTGGATTTTATGTGTATTGTTGTTGCACTACTGTATAGGGTAGGCGTTCCCAGGCGATAATAAAGTGAGTATTTCAACTACAAATTGAAACATAAATTTTAGAATATTTGAGCTGATAATGAGTTGAAGTAGTATTGTATGTGATTTAGTCACAAAATTAGTATGGAAAAATTAGTATGTAAGTATGATTGTACATAAGTTCAGTATTGTCAGTTAAAAAATAGTTAATTCAATTTTTTAGGTATCAAAAACTTTCGTTAAGTATGAATAATTTTCGTCAAGTTTTGAAAACTTTCGTTGAGTTCTGACAACTTTCGTTAAGGTATGAAAAAGCTCGCGCAGTTTCAAGGACTTTCGTGTTAAGTTCTGAAAGTTTTCGTTAAATCGTTTTGAAATCTTGAGTTTAGATACGAAAACTTAAATTTAAAATCTTACGTTGAGTTTACAAGTTTTTAGTTAAGGTCTTGAAAATTCTCGTTCATTTTTAAAGATCCTCGGAGAGATTAAAAAACGCAATTAGTTTTAAATAGGTACATTACTTGTAGAATATTTTTTTTTTGTTGCAAAAATTATAGTGATATTTTTCAAAATATTGTTTTAAATCTTGAAAGCTTTCGTTAAGTTGCGTGATATACAAAACCAACGTCATCTATGATTTTGCTAGAAATCTTTTGCTACGCTTTTGCAAAATTCTCGTTAAGTTTTAAAACACTTAATCTGAGATTTGAAAACTCTTATTAAGCTTAGATAGCTTAGTTACATTCGAGGATTATATTTTTTATGTTCGAAAAACCCTCGTTAAGTTTTTGAAAACTTTTCTCATACAAAGTAATGTTTCTTCTTTATTTCTATTTACTCACCGCTTCTGTGCATCTGAGAAGCTGCGATGCAATCGCGCATGTCCCTTCGAACTACAGGACGGCGTCGATGTTGACGTCGACGCTACACAAGTGCGCTGATGCGTTGTCGCCTCCGTTGAACCGAACATATTGCCGGTGCCGGTGCAAGTGCTTGTGCTGGTGCTGGCATTGGCTGTAAGCGGCGTCGGTGGTGGTGTATACTGATAGTGTGGATATGAATATTGCTGGTATTGTTGTGGCGCTGTTTGACTATGCGCACTGGCATGACTACTGGGTGGCATTGGTGGTGCCGATTGTGGTGGCTGCAGGTGTGGGGCGCTGCTACTGCAACCGCCACTGACATTGTGATGGCGGAAGAATGCGGTTTCCTCACCGGCCGCGAAACTAACACTGGTGCGTGGGGTACGTGGTGTGCTGCGGTTGTGTGGAAAGAATACTTCGCCACCGCCGCCGCCGGCACTGCCTGCGGTAAATGGCGAGGGGCTGTGCACATGGCAGCATGGACTGGCTGGAGGTGGATATTGGAAGGCTGGCGTATCTGGAAGAGAAGAAGATGCGGGCGTGTTAGTGATTGATGGAACTAAAGTTTTTAACAATAAAATTAAGAGTGAAATGTGTATGATACTACTTGTTAAGTTGCTAATTTATATTATTCAATTACATGTTTGGCTTGTAATTGAGATTTGTTTATTTTATGGAAAATTTTGTTAGGTTTAGAAAATAACTCGTTTAATTTTGTGGCTTACAACTTGATTCTCTTCTGCTAGTGTTATTTAAAAAGCTAGTTTCTGCAAATTAAACAAGTTTTGTGGGGTTTTGAATGTTTCGTTAACTTTCAAAGGTTTCGTTAAGTTAAAACTGTAGTCTAGAAGACTTCACGGTTTTTAATGTCACTCCAAATTATAGTTGCAAAGCTAGTAAAGGCGTTTCGTTAGGTTTTAGTGTTTCGTTAAGTTTAAATTATTTGGATGAGTTTCGTATTATTTTTGGTTATTTAAAAAATGTGCATGAAATTGTAGAATATTGTCACGAAATTAGGTTGAACCATAAATATGTAAATTGAAAAAAATATTTACATGGTAAAAGTTCTGAATTTCTCTGCGACATACATTTTTCAATACCTCTGCATTGGACGCAAATGTGATGCTTGAGTAACATCCGTTGAGCTAAGATATAATATAAAACATAAAACAGATAAATAATTTAAGTCATGTTAAAAGTTATCAGTTAATTTAATATTTTCTTTTTAAAATAGGTATATTAATTTCGGACGGAAGTAATTTCGTTAAGTTAAAATTTGCGTTAAATTGCAGATAAAATATTATGAAACTTATCGGAGTTAGTTATTCTTTTGTGAATTTTCAATCAAATTTTTTAGATAATAAAATTTTTTCTAATTGAGTGAAGATTCATTAAGATTATACTGTTGCACTGAGTTCAAATATGAGTACGTGTGTATTTATATACAAATAAAATAAAGTTTCGTTAAGTTTAAATAGTGCTTTGTTAAGTTTACAAACTCTTGGTTAAAATACATTTTTTATTAATTTTCGACAAGTAAAAAAATTTTAGGTTTATAAAACTAAGCTTAAAAATGCTTTCTTTATTATTTTTTCGATAAGTTTAAAAAACGTTCGGGCAATTTGCATTAGCTTCGTTTAACTTAAATGTAGCACTCCATTATCACTTATTTCATTGGTACTGAACGAATTTGGGTTGTTAAAGTTTTCTGGTATGTTTTGAGAAGCTTTCGTAGCTTAAAATCATAAATAATTTTTGCTAAGTATTTTTTCGTTAAGTTTAACTACTGATCGATAATCTCAAAAGTGATTTCATGTAACTCAAAATTACATAGAAAGTCAATCGTTAAGTTCATACCCTTAAGATAGACATTGCTTATAAAAAACAATGCTCTTTCATATGTATTGGAAAAGTTTGAAATTTTTTCTTTAAGTTTGGGAAACGTTTGTTAAGCTCAAAATATCAAAGAAGGATGTTAAATAATATTCGCTAAATTAAAGGAATTTGTTTGAGGCTAATGATATTTTTTATATATATATTTATAAATATTGTTTATAGCTGATCAGTTACAACAACAGCGGTGTCGTTTACCTCAAAATATTTTCGATAAATAAACTTTATTGAATCGATATCCTTAACCAGAAATTATTCGAACTTTGTAAGGTTCTTATCTTCTTATTTTTTGTTAAGTTCAAAATTTATTTCCGCCAAGCTAGAAAATAGTTTCGATAATAATAAAAAAATATTTCGTTTAGATTAAAAAATGTCTCAATAAGTTTAAAAAACTTGAAACTAAGTTGAAAAACACTTCCTTAAGTTGAAAAAAATCTGCGTTTGGTTTAAAAAATGCTTCGTTAGGAGTAAAAAATTTCTTCGTTAGCTTAAGTAAATTTGACGTTAGGTATAAAAACGGTTCGTTAAGTTAAATTGTTTTTCCATTATATACTCCTATGGCACAATGTAAGGTTTTTCAATTTGTATACATCTTTTTTTCTTAAAATTAATACTGTTCTCGTTAAGCAAGAAATTGTGTCGATATGTTTAAAAAAATATTTGGTTTAGATTGAAAACTTTCTCGTTAAGTTTAAAAACTATAAATAAATAAAATACTTCGTTAAGTTTAAAAAAATTTTCGTTAAGTTTAAAAAACTATTCGCTAGGTTCAAGAAATTCTTCCTTATGTTAAAAAATTCTTCGTAGCCAAAAAATTATTCGTTGAGATTAACAAATTTTTCGTTAAGTGTAAAAGAATTTTCTTTAAGTATACAAATTTTTTCGTTATGTTAAATTTCTTTTCAATTTTGAACAAAAGACATGAGTAGGTCCTTAACCACTAAAATTGTTTTGCTAAAATGTTTAATTTTTTTTTATATACTGCACTTAAACTTTAAATGCTTTATTATTTGCTGAAAACTTAAGTTTGTTGTTAAACTGAAAAAAAAGCGCTTGCAAAATTATTCAACCAACGCCACCTGCGCATCGTTACACAAAAAAATTGTCGTAGCCACCTACATTTCTACTTGCCCATACATATTTACACATGAATGTATTTATGTAAATTTGTAGTAAGCTATACTTCACCAGCTCAAGTGGTGTACAATTTCAAAACTAACAAATCTGCATTTTTATTTATTTTATCAGCTAATTAGCGGCAACTCAAGCAGAAATCACCGGACACCTGAAAGCGAGCGCCTTGTAGGCGTTGGCACACACATATTTACATACATACACACACCCATATTCTGAAGTTGCAAATTTATTTCCACAAATATTGCACATGTACAAGCCGTGGCATCGGCATGATAAATTAAACGCATGCAGGCAACTACAACAACACAACAACAAGAATGTAGGTAAATGAAATGCAAGTACCTCTTAATGCATTTAAAACGTTTTAGTGCAAACAGCAAAAAACTCATAAAAATCAATCAAGCATAAGAAGGCGTCGAAGAGCAAGAGAGAAAAGAAGGAAATAAGAATCGAAAACTATGTATGCAGATATGCATAAAAAAAAGAAACGCAAAAAGGTGCCAATAAAAATTGCATATAATTTGCATGAAATTATTCAAACTAAGTGTACAATAAAGTATAATCTGGAAGTTACAAATGTCATACACGCGCACACATGTACACATACATGCAAAAAAGTTTGAATGTTGACATGTATTTATTGCGAATTAGCATAGATGATATATGTGCATGTGAACGTACATATATGTACGTTTTTTTTTTCTACACGAGTAATAAATGCAATTGCATCTTATCGCTTGTATGTAATTTGAGCTCTTTTATAATATTGGTTGATGGTTGCGCTAGTAAAGATGTGAAAATGTTGCTTCTTTAATTTTTTTTAATGAGTACTTTATATCAAATGTAATTTATGCAAATACTTATTTACATATTGCGCTTCACACTTTTTGAGCTTTAGCCTCGCATTAAGATACGATGGAAATTAAATTATTTGTCAGTTAGAAATAATCTCCTATCCAGAGGGCAAAAGATAAAACGATAGAAAGATGGAACTGCTAGCAGATTTAGAGGCGCGCATTACCACGCGGCAATATCAATCTCGACCGCTGGATTTAGCAATATCCAGAAAAGTGTTCTTCTAAAGGCGGTTGCCCCTCGGTAGGCAGTAGCGAACCTCCCCGCGTGCATTTATGTGCCTTCATAAAAGCATCTAATTAAAATCCATTTCCCCCCACAAACGGCAATAACGCAAAATTTGATTTATTTCACTTTTAAAAGGAAATTATACCAAAATCTTAGTTTTGCTTTATTCCCAATAAAGGTTGGAAATAAAATAAATTTTGCCTTATTTCCCATTGCTTATTTATACTATTTGTAAAAAAAAAACAGTTTACTGACATAAGGAAAAAGAACTTTGTTTATTCCAAAAACACAATTAAACCAAGGCACATTGAATAGGTAGTATCACTATAGCAGCTGATTCGATTTTTTTCAAATTATTTGTTCTCGAAAATGTCAAATATTTTTAATTTCGTCTCACAAAAAGTCTTAATTGTTAAAATCTATTTGCATGTGAAACATTTTTCCATATAAAACCAGCGATTGAATAGCAGCTCTTGGAACGCTCGCCCAACTCAGCAGCACAACCGCTGATTACTGGGCCTGGCACAGGATGGATCAATGCTTCGAGAATCAAACCAATCTACTAAGAAAGAAAGTGGCAACAACTTTAATTTTTTCAATTTAAATTTTTTATCTTTTTTATATTCCACTTATTTGTATGGCACGCTTTGATGTAGAAGAAAAAAAATCAGAGCTGTTTTTGACACTTTCGATGCCAGAAGCAACAACAAAAATGTTGTTTTTGCTCAAATGCTCTAAACCTGTTCGATAGGCCTTAAATTAAACAAAAAATGTGATATAATTTTTACGAAGAAAGTAATATTCAACGAAATATAGGGAAAGCATCGTCTTTAAAAACTGCTCCGCATATTGGACATAGCGCTTTTGTATGAATTTTATCTGCATGCTTTTTAATATGTTAAAAACATTGCTAGAAAACCTTAAAATGTTCGCAATAAACAGATGAAGTAATAAAACGGCTTTCTCGCTTTATTTTCTGACATTCGGCTGCCTTAGAGTCACATTTTATAGGCAAATTCTCAAATAAGGCAGTGGCACCTGGTAAATTCCACTATGGCTGGGATGCATGCGATTACACCATACACAATAATTCCCATTACTTCAACATTAAAAAGCAGTTTCAGAAGTGAACTAGTGTTATTTTATTATTTTTCTTGCGTAAGGAGGGGAGAGGGCGGGGGACGCGAGCGCGACGTCGATCACGGGGTCGCAGTGAAAGTGGACGTAACTCACGTAGAAAACACGCAAGAGCTAATCAATTGCTCAGCGCGCATCTGTGGTGATCCCACATATTTCGAGTCGCTGCCACTACATAAATATTTTATAAACATTCGAAAACAAATGTTAGCAAAAACCTACACCTTTGTTTTTAAAATTGATTTTTTTTTCTACTAAAACTAATCAACAGAAAAACAAGACATTCTTAATAAAAAACAAGTAAAAAAGTCTAAGTTCGGGCGGAGCCGAACATTAAATACCCGGCGCAAGTATTAAATATATGTTTTTCACCTTTCCGAAAGCTACCGCTAGATGGTAAGCCGGGGTGTATCAAATTTGAGTAAATTAGCGTCCTTAAATTTCGAATTATTGAAGTTTCAAGCATTTCTGAAATTTACCGTTATATATAAAGCGGCCGTAATTTTAGTCCGATTTCAATAATTTTCAATGTTTTGCTTTTATTTGGCAAGCGCAATAAAAATACCGAGTTTGGTACAAATTGGTAGAACGGTTACCGATATACATATATGTGATCATAAGTGGGCGGTGCCACGCCCATTTTCCAAAATTTTACCATAAACGTATATCTTGGTAAAGAATTGTTGCAAGCATCAATTTTGAATAAATTAGCTTTAATATTTACTGATTTATCGAAGATTTTGTATTTCTCTAAATTACCGTTATATGGGATGTGGGCGTGGTTATTGTCCGATTTTTTAAATTTTCGGCCATTTAGTATGCTGTATCAAGGCCAACAACTTTGCCAAGGTTGGAAGAAATTGGTGCAGCTGTTACCAAGATATACATGTAACCA